TATATATATATAATGCTCATCTATGTTGTTGACTGAAGGAGTTAACCCCTTATGGTACTAATCAAGAACATCAAGATGCACCGGCATAAAACTAATAAAGAACATTAATATTATAGTATCTTAAATTGTACTTCAATGGTGTTGCCGAGATGGATTTAAGATGATCCTTTTTTAAACAAATAATTTACCAATTGATCCTAAAATGATTTATTAATTTTAACAAATATGCATATTATTTATAAAATTATTCTCATTATTGTAATTCAGGAATAAGATTGTATGCGCTAAATTGTCGATAATTCATGATAATTTGAACTAACATTTTTCACATAAAATTTTAGGCTAAAATGAGTGAAGAAAGAGAAACAATTTATAGAAGATGCAATCAACGAAAGAATAGTATTATATTAACAATTATCTAACTAGAAATTTCACTCATTAGTAATTATTCATAGTTGTTGCTACTAGATAAAATTTAATTTTTTTTGCCTGATTGCCTATTTCTGCCTTGGTGATTCCAAAAACCTGGATAGGGATATGACATAAAAATTGGAAGAAGGGCACAAACCTTACTCTAATACCACAAAGAAAAAAGTGGCAAAAAAGCTTGTTTTATTCATTTTCCCAACTAGTATTTATACACAAAACTAAATAAAAAGAACACAAAATTATTAAGCACAAAAAATTAAAAAAAATTAAAACTGTTCGTCAAAATTTTCTATCAGGACTAATAGGAGAGAACAATTAGTGGCACTTCATTTCATGTTTAACGCATGAATTCACGGCACCCTTCTTTTCATTTTAAGCACACAAATCTATAGCATATATTTTCCTTTATTTACCGCATTACGTAACAACTTTCATTCTTCATTTAGCAATCCTAATATATTCTAGATTAAAACTTTCAAATTTTGGAAATAACCATAGCATTTTAAATAAATATGAGATATAGGACCAATAATTTCAAGTGAAACTGGTCTCAGAATCTTGATGCATCTAAATAATGAGCAAGAAAAAAATTAACATTTCAGAAATATAAGTGTTTTTAATTATTTTAGCAACGTGCTCTCTCACATGATATCTAAACCAAAAATAAATATTGCAAAAAAGAGATTAAAAAAAGAATACTCCAGTACCTTCTACATTAAACGTTTTACAATAAGAAATAATCATTATCTATGTAAATGGAAAAGAGATATAAACATATATTATCAAGTGAAATTGGGGTAGAAAAATCTTGATGCGTCTAATACAATGAGAGAAAAATCTAGTAAACATTTTGGAATTAGAATAGATTTAAGCACCAGAACTAAAGTGCCATCATAATAACACATCCAAAAAATATAATAAAATAAGCTTTAGTTTTTTTACCTTTTTAGAATGGAATGAAAAAATAGAAATGTATAAAAAAGTTAAAGAAGTTTAGCAGAGTTCAGATGGAAGACTAAAAGTATGAAGCCAATACAAAGCATGATTTTTATAAATTCTATTATGCATAACTAAAGTCTCGTGTACCTGTCTTTAGGAAAGAGTTCACTGCAACAGCAAATCTGGCCCGATTCATTGTGTGCAGAACAACAGACTTCACCTGATATAGAACAAAAAATAAGTAAAAAAGAACAATTATTCTAAAGCAATAAGAATGAGCTAACAAAGAAAGAACGGCCAGAAAAGAGTTTACCTCTTGGTATGAACTGAAAAGATATCCACACGAAAGGAAAGCAAATGAAACAACCAAGGAAGGGTTACTTTTCGAAACCAAGATACTCAGGCCTGTCCCTAACTGCAAATCCCATGGATCAAGATTTTTAAAAAATGATACAGCAAAAAAATATATTTGCAATACAAATTCAGAAACATAAAACCAATAAAGCTTGTGTGGAAAGTTAAGGGCAAACAAACGCACAAAAAAACTTTAACAATATCTCCCAAAGTTTCATTCCATAAACCATTCATAGATGCCCGCTTGAGTTAAAGTGTATTTATATCTATAAACATATTATGCGGAGCCATAGAAGTAGCTTAGGGTCCATTTCATTGCTTGTAGATAGAAAGCATCTTCATTAGCTTCATCTTAATTGTTTGAGGATGGCATTATGAATCCTTATTTTCTATTCTTCCATGTCAAGTGTTACCAGGGCTATTAAACCTACAGTAGATCATTTCGAAGAATGATGAAATTTGCCCGACTTCATCAATTGGTTGAATGTGACTAAAAATAAACATAAGGTTCAAACCACACAAACCACTCAAAATTATTGATTAGAATTTTAATACAAAATGAGAAAATGAGATCAAAACTTTCTAAATGTTTTTCTAACTAAAAAATGCCCCTTAAAAAGTAATAATTTATTTGAGTTTTGGTGTTCTTGAAATTACTTTATTTACAAGGCAATTGAAAATCATGCAATAATTTTGCCAATGGCTAGTTTAATTACTCGGTGTTTAAAAATCAAGTTATGAGTTTTCTTTTCAGATTGCTATGACTGAGCTCATTCACACCTATTGTTTTTGTTTTTTAATTAATTTATTTATTTATTTTTTAGTCTCATTTCCCTGCATGCTCCATGGCCCCTCCAGGTTTTAACAATTTCATGAATTATATCATATTATGGATAAACTGGTAGATTTCAATGCATACATGTTGAGATAGTATAAGGTATAGGATGCAGAAAATTTTCCATTATCTAGTTCTATGTTTTTTATCTTTTATTTTAAATCACATAGGAGGTAATCCAACCCCTTCTTTACATTAAAGTGCCAACATTCAAAATTTGCCAACCAAACAAAAAAACAAGCATGATTTACATTCAGCCAAACAACTAAACATAAATAAGGCACATTACATTTACTCTACCATGAGTTCTTAAAATATATACATTCTAAATGAATGCAACCAAACATCATCAAGAAAGAAAAAAATAAATAAACCAAAGGTGAAATAGATAAAAGATGAGTGAGATGACTTCATGCTAATGGAATTATAAGTTCTGCAATATTTGAAAATATAAATGAATGGAGCCCCCATGAAGTTAGGATAAAAATAATGATGATGATGGTGACCATATTGCCATTGTTAAATCCAAATTATCGAACCAAACACAAAGTTAAGTGATTTTCAAAATTAGGAATGATAAAATAATAATGAATGAAAAGAAATAAAATGCAAAAGCTTAGCATAAATAAATAACTTAGGCATGAGGCGGGCGGTCATATGATATGCAAGCTAATTGAATCTTCTGGCAAGACATGTGATTATACAACCATATTAATAAATCATGAACTTTATTAATAAGTATAAAAATTTTCCCATTTTAAGATTGTCATGGCTGCATTTCATATGCACTGCATTACAACAGTCTAGAAAGCATATGACGACAGAGATCCAAAAACACACCAGATCTGCAATATTGGCAACACATTCTCCTTTAGCAGTGACATCCCCAATATTCTCTCCTTTAGCATAGGCTTTATAAATTGGAGTTCGAGTGGATGTCGATGTGACGGCACCAACATTCTACATATTGAAGGATTCCAAGAAAGCTTGTCATTAAAAAGAAGTAAAGAGATTTTCATTAGCAATACTTGTCAAAAACGAGCTGAAAAGGGGAATTAGTCTGACCTTTGCCACATTCGCCATACAAGCCAATGGTAGAAAAAGATGTGGTACTGCAGAAGTTGCCAGCTCAAGTCCAGCACCCAACTCCATCAAAAGATCACCTGCAAAGCGAAGCTGCCAAAGTTCCACTATCATGTTTTCAGTAGCACAATTGACCAAAGGAATAAAATTATAAAAATTTGAAGAAAGTTACTTCACAGGAAATTTACCTGCTTCAGATCATAGTCAAATTTCTTTCCTTGCCTTGAGTAAAGCATTTTTCCAACACGCCCAGCTCCATCCTACAATATAGATTTTTCAACTAAGAATATCACAAGAATATATCACCTGCAACAACAGTTCTAAGCAGAGGACAGGATAAAATAGTAAATTAATATATCAAGGCATTCACATGTTAGATGGTCTGACAGAAATTATTTGGGATCCTCAAAAGATCCACACCATACAAATTTGCTCCGAGATAACAGCAGTGTTAGACAAGACAAACCAAAATGAATATCAAAAGAAATTGGTATGGTTGCCTGAGAAGCACACAATAAACAATTTTGAACAAAAAATTTTCTGACATGATACTAGATACGCATCCTTTTTCAGTAAGATAGCGGTTGAAATAATCCCTTCTGTCAAGTGTAAGCAGATGATGCTTCCTGACTTTTCTATCATATGGACCACAGAAAAACGCTTCATTGATGCAAAATAAAAACTGCTCGCAAAGAAAACCCAAGATAGTTAGGATAAGGCTAATTAATATAATGATGAGCCTAAAAGACAAGCCAAAAAAAATTTCACGATACCAAAACATTATGACACCCAATTCTACTCACTGGGTTCAATTTATGCATTTGGTGCATGTAATATGCTAAAGAATGTTCGTGCATGAAGTATCTGCTTGCTACAAAAAGAAACATTTAGAAAATTTAACAGGCTATCACGCTGTATATTTCCAAGTCATTATACCTTATGAAGATGCATTTGTGTATGATTACACGTGGCTAAACAAATGAGATGGATGGAAACATTCAAAGATGACCTCCAAAAAATGATCCCCAGAATGTAAATGTAATATTGGAAAACTTTTCTCAAAATTTTAAACATGTATGATTTTACCTTGAAAAGAAGCTTTTAGACCAAACACTTTGTTCAAGTATTGCCTTGCATAATTTCTATGATCTTTGAAACTACTTAAACAATGCCAAAGAATACATTGCTCATTAATACAAAATCTTGATAAGCAAACCTCTTCACCCATAATAGATCTATGACAAAAAATTGTCTGCGTCGTTATTTGTCGAAAGCTTAAATAAAATTTTGAAACGAGCGATCGCGACCCGAAATTTCAACGAAAACTGAATTTGACACGTTTTTTTGACTCGGTCGTCGAGGAGGTTGTCCGAACGACCTTAGATGACGAAACGGACTGCGTCGTCGCATCCAGAACGTCGATTTTAGCTACAAAAGACACCCACTTTGTTGTAGTTTCGTGCACGAGAAAATAGCGCGTAGAACGAGGGATGTTCAATATTAATTAATAAAAAAAAGATAATTCTTTTTTTTAACTTAAATCCCTAATCCAGCACTCACGCTTCACGCCCCACACTCGCGCCTCTTTCTCCCGCATTCGACCAAGTCGTGGCCTGCTCCTCCATTCGGCCAGAGCGGAAACCCTAAATCTTTGGCCTGAGGGCTCATCTTCTCCCTCGAGAAGGTTCGCTCGAGTTTCTCCCTCCTCGTACGTCTGATGTTCTGCCTAAAAGCTCCTCACTGTCGCCACGGCTCTGTTTTCACCTGCTCCCTACCACGTTGCTTCCATCTGCTTCCCACCCTCCTCCACGCAATTTTTTTGTCGTTTCATCCCGCCTATTGCCTTCAAGCTACAGTTCACCTCAGGTAAGTATAGGTAACATCTCCTCTCCCTCTTTGCCTATAAGAACCCCACCTGGGGGGGGGGGGTTGTCTTGAGGGTTGGCCAAAATTCTTGGAGAAGGGGAAGTTTTAATGGCTTGTTCGGCTTCCTTACTGGTTCACTCGATACTTTTGCTTGGTTGCTTGTTTGGCCTTTGAGGTATAACCTTCTTGCTTAATATTCTTGTTTGGCCAAGAGGTTTTATGGCAAGATTTGAGCCAGTTGTTGAGCATTTGTGTTGTGTTTCATGCAAGTTTAAGTATACTTTAAAGTAAAGGTTTATTAGGCCCTTTTCTTTTTCTTAATGGCGCCATATGTTGATGTTCGTTAGACCTTTTAGCATTTTTTTTCTTACAACTTGAGAATGGCATGAAATACACAAGGTTTTGGGTTTTAGGTTGAAGCTTTACATAACATGTTGTACCTTCTTTTACTAGAATTTATTTGGGCTTAGTATGTTTCACTTTGAGGATTTAGGGCTTGCACCTTTGTAAGGTGTGTATGCATGGGTGTGGCATTCTCCTTCCTCCTAGTTCTAATGCAAGGTTTTATGCATGTTAAAAGTGTGATGTGTTGCTTAGCTTGGAGTCTTAAGTGGGGGGGGGGGGGGGGGGGGGGGGTTTGTTCTAAAAAGAAGGGATCAAATGGAAGGGCTTCACACTAGCATAACTAGTGAACACCTTAAAACTTCATGGCCACTTAATTGTTCTCTCATTATTTCTAGTTGGGGCATGTTGAGCACACTTGGGTATGTTTTAAACTTCATTGTCGGCATGTTTTTGTCGGCATGATTTGGATGTTGGTTTTCGTCCTTTTGACTCCGTACTTGCTCTCTACCTTGCGGTGGTGATGTGAGGGATTCCCGGAACTTCGCTTGTATGGTTTACATATCCAACAATTAATTCGATTTTTTTTTACAATTGTGCTACCTTATCCAAGCATGAAAAAGCTATATTTTCGCTCATTATGCAAGTAAAATGATGGTATTTTTGGCTCCGATATGAGAACTTATGGAATTTTTTTCTTAATATGCACATGAGAATTTTGTTTTGAAGATTGGATATCAAATATGTAAACATAAGGGAATTCTTTTGTTATATGCTTTGTGTTGTTGGAAATCTTTTGTGTTGTTGGAAATGTTGTTGGAAATCTTGTAACTTGCCGATTTAGGAATTTTCATTGCATACTATACATTGAAATGGTTAAATTTGGGTGTTAGATTTTGGGCTGCGGTTTTTGTGATGTTAGGGGCTGTTTGGTTGCCCGGTTTCGGCTGCGATTTTTGTGATGTTGGGGGCTTTTGGTGCCTGGTTTAGGCTGCGATTTTTGTGGTGTTGGGGGCTGTTTTGGTGCCCTGTTTGGACTGCGATTTTTGTGATGTTGGGGCTGTTTTGGTGCTCGGTTTGAGCTGCAGTTGTGAAAAGATTTGGAACTATTGTGTCCCATTTGTGCTGCGATTTTTGGAGGGTATCTGCGGCTTGTTGGGCCACAATTTGGAAATTTTAAATGCCGTTTTTATGGGCTGAAATGGCAGCAGTTTCTAACCTGTTTTAATGATATTTTGGGCTGCAGTTTGGCCCTCTTTTGGCGAGGCTTTGGACTGCAGTTTGGCCCTCTTTTGGGAAGAGTGGTGCACTTGTTTCAGCATAGTTTTGGGGCTTTAAAAACACGTCTTTTGGGTTGCAATCTTTGGCTTGTTTTGGTGGTGTTTGGGTTCCGTTTGCTCCCTCTCCTCCCTTCCCAACAGTCTTCGTGTGAGAATAGTTGGTGCCTTATACAAATTTCGAGAGAAGTTTAGATGGTGTGTTTTGTGGTATGAGGACATTGAAAGTTCAAGCGATTTTTCTCAAATTCATACTGTTAAAGGTTGGAAATTGTTGTAAACGCAGTTTTGAGGGTCGATCCATCATTTACTATTTTCGTATTTCAAATGGATCAATCTCTCCTCTCTCCCACCATTTTTTTTCTTTTTTTCTTTCTTGTTTCTTGGTTTGATTTAGGTGCTTATGTCTGAAACATAAGCGCTCATATATAGTCGTCGTTGTATATAAACCATCAAGCAAAATTGTAAGTGGGTCAGTTTTAGGGTTCAAGGACGATGATGAAAAAGACAACTAGATATGTGTGAGAGGTTCCAGCACAATCCTGGCTCAATGACTTTGAGAGAATGAGCCGCATCCTAACACTTAGTAAAAAGTTACCACTTGCTTTTACAGAAAGTGGGAAGTTTCAGCCAACTAATATGACTGACTCATTAACTTTCTAAAACATGAAAATTTCTTTAAGTGATATATATGTACACACATAATTAATTGAAAAAAAAAAATCTTTCAAGTGCATGACAAATCAAAATTTCTTTTGAAAAATGAAATCCTTCCAAAATATTTTCTGAAAATTTCACGGGTCGGTCATATGAACCGAGTTAGGAATACCCTTTTCTGTGACTATTAGGTCAGCGATCTTTTACTTAGTGTTGGATCACACATGCATGGTGTTGACTATTTTGTTAGGGCCTTAAGGTCTTTGATTTTGACCCAAGGTTCTGACTCTGAGTCCACCCTGTCCCGAGTGCTTACAATTTTCTTTGGTGTCTCGTGCATTTCCTACAGTTTTCTTTGAGCTTTCGTGGGTCACTCCCAGTTTTTCTTCGAGTTTTTCGTAAGATGCTTTGTCGATAAACTTTTACACACATATACATGCATGTTTACCCTGCTAGTTAAACTCCCCACCGTACTTATTTACTTCTACCTGCAATGTTAATCTCATTCACAGGAGCAGCAGACCCGCCAGATACACAAATTTATTTTATATTTACAGCATTTTATTTCTTTTATTGTACATTCTACTATTCTTCTTTATTATACATCTATTACATTTTCTTTACTGTTGTTTTCCTTACCACACTAGTTACTGTTTTCTTTTATCGCACCTCCTACTGTTTTCTTTATATGTATTATACATTTTAGAATAAGAAGACAATAGTTTGGTTTTATATGAGGTACCCAGCAGCAGATCACTGACCCAACAATTGCATGTATATTTAAACACAACACTAAACCTAAAATTGCTAAGACGTGGAGCTTGCACTTAACACCGTGAGCAGCACAACGAGACTGTACAGAAGGACAAATTTGACATATCTACAACAGCACATATTTCCCTAGTTTAAATAACAAGCCATAAGACTTAGACGTAGTCTGCCTAGTGCGACATAAATCCTCACCTTATCGTTTAGGTCTTTGCAGAGCAATGTTGTATAATTTAGGTCCTAACTCGTTTTAGGTTCCGAGGTCGTCCCCCGATACGACGTAAATCCTCATATCTTTTAGATCATTTGTATGACTTTGTCATGCATATATAAGTCCTAAATAATAAAATTAACAGTATGAAACATCAAATAACATTTTCTCGAAATTGGAGCCAAACAATAGGATAGTTTGGGAAGTCACTTAGGTTCTCCTCAGGATCTGTGACATCCCTTACTTTTCTTTCCTTTGACTTCAGAAATAAATGTTCTCATTTGGTCACTTTCCCTTGAATTTTCTATGTCCAACCTTGGAAACCCTAAACTTTGAATTCATGAAGATAGATATCTCTGATCATCATCGAGAGTTCTCTTAAGTGACTCAAGTCATTTGAGAGGTAATTAATTATAGAGGATTGCCTCTATAAGGAGCTTTAAGAACTCAAGTAATATAAACTCTATATAATTCTTAATATTAGGAAGAGGAACTTGTCGATCAACATAAATGTTCGCAGACTAAAATGGATGTCATAAATTCTTTAGTTTATTTAATCGAGCCTCACGGATAAGTGATGTCTATTTCTTGGGATAGGTATGTCGCTTGTAGTGTTGTGCTCGTTTCTTTAAACTATCGTTTATATGGGATCGGTTCGGCACGTATTTTTAAAATTAAACAATTGCATTTCAAAACTATATATATATTTTTCTCAAATTAACGGCCGACACTTACATGGTAGACTTGCACAATCAAAAAAAAACAATTTTCGAGAAATCTTTGTATCACGTCTTAACTCATTTTCAATTACTCTCTTACATAGTTTTAATGTGACTTAATTCATCTACAATTTACACACTTTGTGCACCCCCTTTATTCTTAAAAACAGGAACCAAAATACTATTCCTCCACTCAAACATTTTTTTTTAGTTTCAAAAAAAAAAATCAAAAAGGTTGGTAAGCCAAAAAATTCTTAAATCTCTTAACATTTTCACAATTCAATTGGGATACTATCAGGTTAGATTGATTTTTCACTCTTTTTTCTTTAAAGTTTCCCCGACTTCCTTATTTCTAATGTGTCGATAAAAATAAACTTTATTATTATTATTATCTATATTCAGATCATTGAAATTGATCACATTTTCCAAATCTTTATTACAAATTTTATTTAAGAAAAATATTTTTTTTTATTTTCATCAGTAATATACCATACTAAAATAAATCTTTAGTTCTCTTCTCTTTTTATGAGTGTGTGTGTTTGTGTGTCACCCTATATAATGTCTAATTTTTATAAAAATCACCAAAGGCATAATTCTTAGCATCACAAATTGTACTCTATGGTCCACCTTATATTTTTCTCAATTCGCTAAGTTTGTATATTTAAATCAATTTTTATAACAAAAATTATATTTTATATTTTCGTGTATACTATTTTTTCGTCACCAACTATGTTTATTTATAAAAGTTTTTTTTATCCTCCAAGAATATATTTTGCAACTTGTTTGATAGTGCTCAATACTCTATCCCACATTGCATTAGTTTCTTTATGAACATCTTAAATCTTGAGATCTTGAAGTCTACTCATAAAAATAATATTGTGACTTTTAAGAGTTCACATCTAATTATATTACAATATTTCATTATATTTTCATTTTCCAACTTAAAATCCAAAACTAATAATCAATGCAGAGTACTTAAATTTTCAATTTGAATGACCTTACAATCATTACAATCTTGACGATCTCCTTTCTTCATAAGAGAGAGAACAATCAATTTATGTTTTATTAGAAACATACTTATAAGTGAGACTACTGTGATTTTTTTAAAAAAATATTAATAATAATAAAATCATAAATTGAAGAAAAATCCAACATGGCTATACTTCTTCATTATTCACTCCAAAATCATAGCAATCATGAATATTTATAAAATATTATATCGCTCCACAAACATGTACATTAAAATCACCTCCATCAAATTTTTTTTTCTTCAAAATGTATCATTTGTATTAATTCTTCTAACTCATTCCAAAATTTTTCTTTTGTTCCAAAATTTTTCTTTTGAACAAATATCTAAACCTCCTTAAGGAATATATGCACTTACAATATTAAGAATCTTAGTATTAACAACAATTTTTAAGGTTATAATTTTATCTCCAATTCTATTAATTTTCACAACATTATCTTTCAAACTCTCATCGTTAATTACACATACACCATTTCTATTAGGATTGATACCCGAATACCAAAGTTTAAAACTTAAACTATCAATCTACTTTGTTTTTTTTAAACCTATTTACTTTCTTGAATGCATAAAATATTTATCTTTCTACGAACCATAATATCTACCCAATTTCATTAATTTACTTGTGACAGTACTTTTATTTCAAGATTTTATACTAATATTAGTTTTGTAGACTAACTTATTTACATTCATCTGTCCATAATTGGAAAACCTTCAGGGTGTAGTATCTTTTTTATGGAGGAAAAATATATTATAAAAATTAATAATTAACAAAGATAACACTTAATTCAAAATAAAGTCTTATACTTTATTATCATTAATTAACTGAATAATACTGACTTAAAAGTTGATATTTATTAAAAAACTAATACAAATTAAAACTAAAATTATAATTTAATTTAAGAAAAATATGATTAGAATGAATTTAATATTAAATTATTTATGTATATTATTAACAAACACAATTAAAAAAATTAATTAAAATAAGCTAAAATTATAATTTTGTCTTTTAAGATGAAGCTTCACAGTGTAATTTAATAAAAGTGTAAGTTTTATGTGAAACCCATACTAATTATAGAAAATTTAATTTATAAATAATAAATAAATGTATTCAAAATAATTAATAAATAAATCTAAATCTTCAAAATAACTATAATTTAACCTCATAATTTTTATTTTCTATTTTGCTTAGCTCAAATATCACAAAAAATAGGTTTTTTTTTTAAATAAAAATATATATTACGAGTATGAAAGTGATGTTTTTTTTTGGTTGATAAAGGAGCATCTACATATGTACCACCCAATTCTTATGTACTTACATATCTAATTTATAAACTTTACTTTTTACATTTATACAAACCAAATATTTCATCACATAAAAAATATCACTATTTTGGAGGATACAATTGCTTATTTAACACTGCACCAAGGCGCAAATGCAGCGGCCCTTGCATACTTTTCACCATAATCAGGTCATGAAGTGCATCGCTTACAGAGGATACCCTAAAATTAAATGATAATAATGTGTAAATATTTTATCGAGAGTAAAAATGTTATGACTGAGTTTTCATCTACATGATATTATATGTTGTCTTCAATATAGGATGTGATAAAGTTATTTCACAAACATAAATGCATGTTTTAGGCTTCAATTATAGGGTGTCTTCAGTATAGGATGTGATAAAGTTATTACACAAACATCAATGCATGTTTTAAGCTTCAATTCCCCCAAAGAAAACAGATGATTTTCTATAGCTCAGATAACAAGAAATACAGAAGTAAACAATTACAGATGAATATATCAACTTTCCAAAAAAGAAAGGGTTGACTTGAACGGTTAGTTATTGAACTCAAAAACTCTTCAGCGTCTATGTAGAAATCAATGAAACAAGAGTTTGCATAAAATGGCCAAGAAAAAACATGTATTCTTCATTTTGGGAAATTTTATGTTAGACGAGAATTGACCTATTTCACTAAAAGGGATAAAATTTTCTAGGAGTAAAGAACTTCGTTGAAGAGTGCAGATAAACTACATTACCATAATCAAACAAAATTATATTTATGATAACCGAGAACTTATCTACATTACCTTAAGAATCCAATTAATAGCAACAGCTCCAGAGGTTGCACTGTTTTTAGATGCTCCAACAGAAGTTAGGAGTGTCCGTGTAGTAAAAACACCCATTGCTCCCCCAAAAAAATGCTGCAGAAACATGACCCAAAATGAATATTTCTAATGCATATGTAATCAGCATAATTGCATTAAAAATGGCAATCACCAACCTTTAAAGCTCTCCATGTCATATACGGGACGTACGAAGGGGTAACACTATTAGGAAAGCCTTCGGGAACAACATAGGATCTTATGAATGCAAAAATTTCCTTGAAACAAAATGGAAAAGGTGAGAATATTTCAAAGAAAAAGCAAACGATATGAGCAAGTATTCCAAATTAAGTACATGTTGAAATATACATGTACAAAGGAGTATGCATGTGTACATTCTACCAGAGCTCCGATCAAAAGAATAACTAGATTATGGTGCACTATATATTAACGACTATTAGCTTGGAGCTCCATCTAGGGTTGTCAATTTAGCTCGTTGTTCGCAAACAGCTCGTGTTTGGCTCGTTAAACCTAACGAGCCAAACAAGAACAATTTTTTAAGCTCGAAATCTAAACGAACTGAACACGTACAAAAGTTTGTTCGCTCATGTTCGGCTCGAATTGGTTCGAAAATAATATATAAAATAATATATATATATATATATATATATATATATATATATATAATATACATAAAAATATATATAATTTTATTTAAAAATTAATTATTATAATAATTTTATATTCTAACAAGCCAATTTCGAGCGAACATGAACATGAATAATTTTTTCGAGTCGAACACAAACACACTGTTCACGGACCATTTCAAACATGAGTCAATTTCAAACGAGCCGAACACGAACCTAGCTTGCGCTCGCTCAAGCTCAGCTCTTTTACAACCCTAGCTCAATCTAAATGTTCAAACTTCCTGAAGAAAAGAAAATTGGAAAAGAGATAACCTATGTGAAAAATTAAATAACAAATCAATCTTTTAACTTCCAGAACCATATAAATGTATGCATGTTCACAATATGCACAATTAAAACATGCTTATGCATAAATATGCACATATTCATGTCGATACAAGCGTGAGTATGTACATAAATTTAATCTGCTTATTCAAAGTTCAGAGACCCGATGTTAACCCTAATAATTTATAAAAACCGATTTCAGAAAACAAATTAAGCTAAGATAAACTAATATCAATTCAAAGAGCCCAACCATAGAAACAATTAAACAATCAACAATGCCCATCTTTATAAGCATTTCTAGCTCTAGTACATGCATTCATTAAAAAAAATTACCAAAAGAACCTGGAAAATTCAAATATTTTGATTCTATCCCGTGATAAAAAAATCTGCCATGTAAAATAGTTATTGTGAATTATGATGAGACAAATCTTCCACCATTTCCCAAAAATAATAAAATAAACAGGTTTAAAACTAACATTTTCAGCAATAAAATTAAAAAGAATAAATTAAGCGATGACTATATTAAACGAAAAGCAGAAATAAATATATTAAAATAAAGTAATTAAAAATAAACTTAGGTGGTAGTTTGTATAGGTAAAATAAAAAGTAGGAAATGAAGCAAGTAGATGAGTTGCTAAAATAATGTCATGGCCTAAATAAAATGGACAGAATTTATTTAAATGGTTTATGAGGAAGAGAGTAAGCACTTTAGTTGGCACTAAGAAGGATCATAGAGTTGGCACTAAATAGTTGGGATAATGTTGTTCATGTTATGATGTGGATTGGTAGTGTCAGATGGCTCCGCAGGGGCCTTCCTAGGGCTACTATATTGCACTCTTGGCATTTGGCTCCTCTCCATGATGGGTTGGTTAGTTGCTTCACAAAAATATAGAAAGATTTGATTGGGGATATCTTTAGCAACACATTTCTTAAATTTATTCCCTTCCTAATTTATGTTTCTTCATTTCAAAATTATTTCCTTTCCTAATTTATATTAGATATATTTGGTAAGTTCGTAGATTATGAAAGATTGATTTCTCTAGATGTATCCTACATGTGAATGATAAAATGAAGTAATTTTTTCTTCCTCGTACCTGTTTTCAACATGGTAACAGAGTTGTTCCTCCTTTGTTCGTCACAATCACTGCTCATGTTTGAAGTTGAGACGTAATCAATGCTCTGATCATCATAAACGTCATCAATCTCTGTGTTTAATTTCTTCAATTGTGTCTCCATATCTTGTCTTCAATGATATCTTTCCCTTTGACGTATTCGATCTAGTCGGACATCTACATCTTAAGATGTGTCTCCTCACCTCACTGCTTCTCATCACTTTTGCTCTCAAGTACCACGAGTCCTGCGAGTCTGGCACACCGCTCGTACGCATGCAATTTCTATCTTGATCAAACTCCATGTGCTCTAGCCGTAGTCATCTCCTCCATTCGAATGGATCGTGTATGAGTTGTTTGTCTCGTTTGATCACTAAAGCCATACTAACTAGTCCTTCGGTTCTTCTCCTCTGACATTTTTGCTTGCATCGTCTGCTCGCCTGGATCGCTTGAATGCTTTGGTTGCTCGTCTGGTTAGCCCGTCTGAAGCGTCGTTTGGCTCCATCTGCATTTGTGGCGATTCTCATCGATCGGACCTCTATACCTCCTCTGCCAAACTTCTCCTATTGTCCCTATGGCAAACCTCGTATGTTGACCCTTACTGGCTCCTTTCCTGCAGCCATCAGTCTCCTTACAGGCCCTTCCCGGCTCGAGTTTTCCCTGCAGTCATGTCTATTATTGCAGACCCTTCGTTACTCTCCTTTGTCGCCAAAACTATCCCTGCAGCCTGAATCCTCCAGCTACGGGCGCTCCACCATCGAAATCCCTTCAGTCAATCTACAAGCCCTTTTTTGAAACCTTTTTCATGTTTTGATGCTTCCATATCTTCACATCATAGCTTTCTCTTTTGCTATATCGTAAAAAATCTTTGGGTGTGTATCGTTTGTTCACATTCATTCCTCACACAAAAATTGTCCCTAAATCTATCAAGTGTATTTTTCTTGGATATAACTCCAACAAAAGATGTATAAGTGTTACTCTCCTATTATTAAAAAATATTGCAGCTCCATGGAGGCACATTACTTTTTAAATCAATCATGCTACAACAAATATGATCTTTAGGGGGAGAGTACAAATGAACAACAATTTTGTGATGTACTTGATAGCATTTATTCATTCTCACTACCTACTTTACCTAACCGACCTATCCTAGTTGAGGATGACCAACCAAAACAACCTGAAGTACATAACAATCCAACCAAAACAACCTAAAGTCCATAACAAAGACTTTGTGTGTACACGAGGAAGAGAAATCTTGAGCAAGTTGAAGACTACTTGCAAAGAACAAAGCTGCTTAAACTAAAACACGAGTCTACATTCACCTTAAATTTCGAGTTAGAAGTTTAGTGCTCATGAGTTATATCTTTCCTTTTCTGATGTTGGTGACAAGAAAAGTTGCATTAGATATATAATTCAGGAGTATATAGCTTATGGGATATAAAATTCAAGATGTTGGTGACAAGGCAAGCTATCCTTTTCTTGCATTAGATATATAATTCAAGAAAAGTTGCATTAGATTCTAACTTTGATAGTGTGCGGATTCATAAATCGATTCATGAAGCACTTGAAAATCAAAAATGGAGGAAAACCAACGAAGCGGAGATTCAAGCACTGAATCATAATGTCAAATGGATTCTTACTAAACTCCCTCGGGATAAGAAGTCAGCAGATGCAAATGGTGTTCAGCATCAAATGCAAAGCTGATTAGGGTATTAAGATATATAAAGCAAGACAGATTGCAAAAAATTTCACTCAAGCATAAGAGATTGACTATCATGAGACATTCAATCCAGTTGTCAAACTAAACACCATCAAAATTCTCATTTCAATAGCAGTTAACAAGGAGTGGAGACGACATCAACTTGACATAAAAAATGTCTTCTGGAGCATGTGTATGTGTAGACACACATACACACACACACACACACACACACACATATATATATATATATGGACAATCTAGAAGATTCTAAGTCGTTGTGAGCAAATAGAGTTGAAACAAGGGGATTATAAGAAGTTATAAGAGATTGACTATCATGAGACATTCAATCCAGTTGTCAAACTAAACACTATCAAAATTCTCATTTCAATAGCAGTTAACAAGGAGTGGGGACGACATCAACTTGACATAAAAAATGTCTTCTGGAGCATGTGTATGTGTAGACACACATACACACACACACACACACACACACACATATATATATATATATGGACAATCTAGAAGATTCTAAGTCGTTGTGAGCAAATAGAGTTGAAACAAGGGGATTATAAGAAGTTATAAGCAAATAAACTGGAACTAAGGGTCAGAGTAACCTCAGATTTGAAGAGCCATGAGACTACTCATTGCATAAAAGCTAAGTTTAAGCCCCTAGATGGACGACATCAACTTGACATAAAAAATGTCTTCCTGAGCATGTGTGTGTGTAGACACACACACACACACATATATATATATATGGACAATCTAGAGGATTCTAAGTCGTTGTGAGTAAATAGAGTTGAAACAAGGGGATTATAAGAAGTTATAAGCAAATAAACTGGAACTAAGGGTCAGAGTAACCTCAGATTTGAAGAGCCATGAGACTACTCATTGCATAAAAGCTAAGTTTAAGCCCCTAGATAGAAGGACAATTCATGCCCAACAGTCAACCTGCGTAAAAGAGAACAAGCCACCATCTAACGATTTAGCAATCAAATCCGAATCCTCTTTTTGTGAGCAAGATTTGAATTTAGTACCATGAGTCCCTTCCATTCAGCATGTCTGAATGATTACCAAGGTAGGCCATAATCTGATAAAGGTCATCCAAGGTGACAAGGTGCAGTTTCAGAGAAATCTATGTTGTTCCTTGACCATGAGCATCTTAAGCTGCCTCCAATCACACATTCAACTTAAGAGACAACTTACGTCTCATTTGCAGTCTAAGAAACTAATCAATGTTACTTGAGAAAAAATAATAATATGAGGAAAAAAATAAAAGAACTGGAGCTAGAAGGCATAAAAATGAATTTCATTTTAATCATAATTTCTTGTTTACAATTCTTGTAAGCTCCCTTTACTTTTACAAGACAAAAAAAAAAGAAAGAAGAAGAAAGAGGGGAAAATAGGTAAAATAATGACGAGAGTTACTGAAGTGTTGGCTGAACTCGCACCAACGGAACCACGCTCAAAAGAATTATCTGTCTACAAACTTTTCTAAGCAACAGTAAACAAGATAAAGCGTGAAAGGTGGGGTGAAGATTGACAACACAATAAAGATCCAATATGGGATATTTGAACTTGGTTCTAATGATTATGTTGATGGAGGAACCACCAAACCTACCAAGCACGAAGTCATACCTAATCTAAGAGAAGCCAAGCCATAACTTGAAGAGAATTGCAAAACACTCAATAAATTTCATTTCTCGTCAATTAATTTTCATTACATGTGTGCATATAAAATTACAATATGAAAAAAAGAAAAAAAATTGAATGCATTAAATATTAAATGTGAATAATTAAATGGAATTTGAATTGACACAAAAATCTTGAAAATCCCTTGCTTTGCCAAATTTTAATGCTCCATACCTCAGTCGAAATTATCAATTTCTAGATAAGCATACATCCAAAAATTGAAACTTAAATAATGTCACATGGGTTTAATGCTAAATTTGACCCAAATTCATCATACTTCATGTTCTCATCCAAAAAAATCACTTTCCAATTAAGCCTTACATAAGAACTTCATTTAAAATAGAGTGCAAAATGACGTTGCATTGACCATAAATAACCAAATCCATATCATATATATAACCATTATTGTTTCTATCATAACCTCTATTATTTCAAAGAGAGGGTATAAACAATTCATTCGAATAAACCAATAGGAGGAAGAAAAAAAAACATGCTAAAAGCATGACATGAGCGGTTATATAAAACAAAACCAAAAAAATAAAAATTTTAAAATATATTACACTTTTTTATAGAAAGGCATGTCCCATGTAGCTTACTAAAAGGAATATAGTAGCTTGCCAAAAAGGATACATGTATCACATAAAGGCAAGTTCATTACTACTACTCATCAAGAAAAACCTAAGAACAGGACTCTTCGGTGCACCTATCAAGATCACCCAATTTCTCCTAAAATGCTCTGGGACAAACCTACCTCCAACTAAAAATTGGTTGTACTCTAAGGGTTGCATGAAGCTACAGACAATAGAATATTCCACCCACAACTCATGAACTTTCTGGCATATAGCGAAAAACTTGCCATGATTGAGAGGTTACTAGCCTTCAAGTATCAATGACTCAATAATCATGCTTACAACCATGAGTTGCTCCTACAAAGTTCACAAAGGTCCCTTAAATGAACCAACAACTTCTTCAACTCCATCGAGGCTTGAAGGCTCTCCATCCGCATGAGAGGGTTGTAGCAGGGGGATATGAGCATCACAAAAAGGTGGATGGGGGTACCTATCCATCACTTACACATCTGTGGGAAGCCCAACAAAAAACCTCATCGATGACCTTTATGTTGCAATCCACATTGACAACTCCAGGCTGCTCCACCAAAGTTGCCCTAGTTGCATCAATAAAAATGTGAGGTAATAAGTCCTCGCTTAGAAAATTACTGAGGGAAACCTCTAAAATTTATTGTCACAAACCCTATATCCAAGAATGGAGTTTGAAGATCGCGCCTAAGAGAGTAGCAACTTGCAGCTCTATGAGGTGGTAACCTAAGAGTTCACTCAAACTAACATGGATGATGAATTCACTTGGGGCTACAACCGTGGGACTTGCTAGAGGGACCCCCTCCAGATTGATCTTGCCAGCCTTACCTCCTATGATGTTCTATTGTTGTTCAATCCTCTATGCCAAAAAATCAACAATCTAAAAAGAGCACCAATTAGAAAAAGAAAATAAAGTGTTGTGAGTCCGATGAATAGGGCATCTAAGTGTCATTCTAAATAAAAGGAGAAAAAAAAGAGTACCTGGACATCAACCTCCACCTCCGCCGAGCACTCCCCTGAAATGCAATTATGAAACAAAACCACAAGGAAAATTTATCATCCTTGAGAAGCATCAAAGTCTCAACTCTAACGGCTTTGGCTCATCTCTTAGTCATTTTCCCACCCAAGCTACTTGATTCAGCCACTACAACCTCAGATTGATGAAACTCATGCTTCATATTTTTGCGCAAGAAGTCTGCCTTGGCAGGTACCCCCTCAAGTAAATCGAAACGTTAAGGCCCGACGATTGTTATCGAGCAAATTTGACTCGACAAGAGAAGATTTAAAATTAGAATGAGTGTAGGGCCAAAATTATTTATACACACAAGAAGTTCTTTCCCACATACAAAGCGCTCAAATCAATTTCATCATGGGGGCATCATGCTCAATCTTAGAACAAAACTAAGCAATAAAAGCAATTTTTCATTACCCAGATCATGAATATATCACTTCATTACCTTAATATTTTTTGTCAATGAGTGCTCAAAAAATGCAAGAGAAAAAAAAACTAAATGCATTTCAGAGATGTCGATTCATCTAAATGAACAACAATGAGAGTCCCACGCTCAGAGCTCAAAAAAACTTTCCAACACATGCTCACCTAGTCTGAGGCCCAAAAGGGCTCACTTGGTCCACATGCACCTCCTAACTCCATCAAGGTCACCTAACTCAGCCATGAACTCTAGTATATATGTCAGTTACTAAAGTCAGAAGAACTCACCAACTCAATTGAACTCGCCTTCTCCTGGGGAACACTCATCCTAAGCACAGAGAGTCCCATTCAGATCCAATTAGCCAAATAACCTAGTGATCAATCCGTGATCTCATCAATCAAACCAAGGAAGTTTCTCAAACACTGGCCCCTAGTGGCCATACAAGCGTTCTTAAAGTCCATATGCCAAGATTTGGACAAAAGATTTATTTATATGTTTGGTATGGCTTTTTCTGGTCGAGCCTAGAAACTGACAAATAGGGGTCAAAAGGAGTATGAGAAGACATTTACAGTATTCTGTACTTCTTATGGGAACAAACAGAATACTCAAAGCTTCTCTCAATCTCTTTTCTCTCCCTCTACGTCTATTTTATTCTCTCTATCTATCTCACAATATCTGCTAGTAGGATCCAAGTGTCACCCACGAATAAATTTAGAGATCCACCACAATAGACGTCTACAAAATTATTGAAGAAAATTAGATATAGTAACAATCAATGCATTTTTTATTAAGTCACAAAAATACAAAAACAGAAAAGTTGTCCGAGACTGCTAGAGGAAGTCGAAAGGATTCAATGAATTTCTCCCAAAAAGGCACTGGGTAGGGTTTATTGCTTCACAAAATGAACTCGTGCAAATTAAAAGAAATCCATAAAAAAGAGCCCCAGAAAACATTGGGATCGAAATTCCAGCCAAGAAATTGATAATAGAATGAAGCATAATCAACACAATCCATCCAACAAAATCACCAAATGGAAACATAAACATCAAAGTATTAGAGATGATGCAGTACAAGTATCCCATCAACTCACATCGATGGGCGCTACCGGCGACTGCAATGGCACCGCCTTCAGGGATGAACATCTCCGAGACATCCTCCGCTCCTCAACCCCCACCACGTAACTCCACTTCTTCCCGTCGATCTCCTCGCAGCAGAGAACCCTAGGTTGGACCGCCACCGAGGCGTTGGTGTCCCCGCCAAAACAGACCTGCGAGGTCGCAATCTGATCCGGGGTCATTGGAGGCGGCGGTAGCAGATTCGGGGAGGAAGCGAGAGCAGCGGTGCGCATGGCGTCGCGCACCATCACCCGAGCCTCCGCAGATGCCGCCGAATGTTTTAGCTGGATCGGAGCCATGGCGGAGAGAATGCGCCGCGGAATGGAGCATGGGGCGTCAGCAAAGCGGAGCTTCGATATTTATAGCCGGGTGAAGGAAGCGTGTGGCGGCGAGCGGAGGAGCTTCGGTTTTATCGTTGGTGTGAACAGAAATAGCGAGTGATTGTGGCCGTCACATGAGTATTGCGTCACAGTATCGTTTGACCTTAGGGGTTTGAAATTAGTTGAGTTGAGTTTAAGTTAGAATTCGAGCTCGAGTTTAACTCGAGCCTATGTGATGAGCTTGCATATTCAAAATCAGACTCGAGATCTCCAACTCAATGATGAAAACTGTAATGGAAGTATCCTAAAGCGTAAAAGAAGACGCTGCTAAAATGTTAGCAGAGAAGAGTTGTAGGGTTGTTGCTGCTTACAGGTGTAAGTGAATTAACCCGGCTCGATAAGTGGCCCGTGAGCTGAGCTCGATGAGCTAACAGGTCTAGATCAAGGCAATCCCAACTTGACACTTTTGCTCCCAAGCCGGCTTATTTAAGAAAATGTTAATGTAAAATATACTCAAATATATATAAAATTTCAATAATTTATCTTTTAAGTTATTTAAAATGTTTAAAAAATAAAATTAGTATTATATTTTGTGGTTTCTTATTATTTATCTCTTAATTCTTCATTTTGATTGACATATTATTATAAAGCTAGCTTAAATTAATATTATTTTCTCTCATTTATAATAAGCGGGTATGAAATTCATATAATTTATTACAGCACCGATCATATTAAGAACGGTTTCCATAATTGATCTCATAATTCTATAATTGTACCAAATACATCCCTATAAACATAAAATAAAAATACGCATAAAGGGACACGCCCCTGATTCTCTCCACAATAACTATTGGTTCCCTTTATTTTCTCTTTCACTCAACTCTGACTCTCGAGACATGTTCACAAAAGATAATCTTGGAGCCAACATCCTAAAAGGCAGTGCGGTGAGCATGAACATGCCTCGGATGAGAAGTGGGCTAACTATGAAGGAAAAACTTCTCAAAGAGAGACAACACGTGTGAAACTCAATAAAGATGCTACACAACCAGACATTCATGCGCAGATCCAGGGCTTACAAGTCCTAATGACCCTCATGATCAAGCAATTTGAGGTCATCTGCGCAACAATCACCCAGAGGAACGACAAGGCGGCACGCCTGTAAACGAAACCTGATACACCAAAATAAAGTGTTATTTTAAGTATATATTTTATGTTTATTTTTTTGTGATATTGCACTTTAAATAATCGTATTTTCATATTTTTGTTGCACGTATATCAATTTTAGGCATTTATAGCAAAAGTATCAAATAGAAGAAAATTTGGAGTGAAAATAGAGAACTTTGTGATTCTACCGTCTGAGGCGCCAACTCGCCTGAACTGGTGCCAGACGCGCCATTATACAGAGAAGCGGCGCCTAAAACGCCAGAACTTAGAACAGCGCAAACTTTAAGTAACTCGGCGCCTAAAGCGGCAAAGACAATATTTGATGGATTAAGGCAGTTTAAGATGAATTTTGAGCGGATTTTGCAAGCTTCAAATGTTTCAAACTCCTCATGGAGTGATTCAATGCATCTAGACACTTTGGAAGACTCTATAATGAAGGGTTATGTCTCTTGAATGAATGGACATGTCTTTTGAGATTCAAAAGATGTGACTTTTAGAGATAAATTTGGAGGAAATTCTGATATCTTTTTAAGAGGAGGCAGTCGCTAATTAAAAGGAGAAGGAGTCTAGGGCTGAAGGAGAGGAGGCGAGAGGCGAGAGGGAGAGTTTGGTGGTGGCGAGAGAAAGAGTGAGGGACTTTGAGATTTTCTTCTAAGGTTGTAAGAGGAAAGGAAAAGTGAGAGATTTCTTCTTCATTACATTTCTAAGAGAGAACTGAGAGTGATTGTAAATAGGAAAAGTGCTTAAAGAGAACTTTTAGGGATTTTCTTTTGAATGAGTGTGAGATAAGTTGTGTCATTTATTTCTTTGCTTCACAAATTTGTTTTTATATATGAAATTCGTGTTTTGTTCTTTCATTTTCATAAATTTTCAGTAGTTTTCTTTATCCTTCTCCCTACCTTGCAATATGGTTTTGTGAATAATTGATTTTATTGTATATGATTTTAAATGTCAATAATTTATGACGATTTGAACTCCGATCTTCATTTGCTTTTCGATATAACCAATTGAAATGTTAAAATGTATTGAGAAACATATGATTTGAAATGATTATGATTTCTACAATATGGTGAGAGTCACATTTAATTCCATGGGTGAGAGTTTAATACATGGGGATGAGTGCAAATAAATAAGAAAATATATTTTGTTGTGCGCATAATTGAAGATTTTAAGGTGGCATATTAAAATTCTCAGTTTAGTCTAATTTATTGGAAACTAATGTGAGATTATTAGCCCTCAACCGAGAGAGAAGTGAGATTGCTGGAGTGAGAGTCGATATCTTCTCAACCTAACCAATAAATTGGAGACCAAACTCTATATTAGTCCTTGAATGAGAGTAAAGAATAAAATTGCTCCTATTTCGCACAATATATATATATATATACTTCACAATCAATATACTTATTTTAAAAGGTGAATGATGCTTTCTTAAATTTGAACTATTTGTCACATAAACATTGTTTAGTTTTTATGTGTTTACTTTTGAAGTTTAGCAAATAATTTAGCTAACTTAGTTCTTTCAACTACACTTTATTAAGCATACACTCAATTATTTTAGATTTGAATTTTGTACTTGAATTTTATAGTTTGAATTTTTTGTTTTAAAATATAGCCATAAGAATTTCTAACTCCCTATGAGATCGATACTTAGGACTCCATTAGAGCTATTTATTACTTGAGCGATGAATATACTTGCATTATTATTACGGGTTTGATAGTTTAAAGATTTTAAAAGCTAAAATTATTTTTACTAAAGTTATTTTTATTGGGATTGAATTGCATATTTATTATTAGTGATGTCATGTGTGTTTTATAATAATGAAAAATATTTACAAAAGCAACACACAACAAACTGCGCATCAGAACCTCAAAGTGGTTTGTTCCCAAATGGCCCCACTAGTGACACACCTATCCTGCACAACCAATTCAACAATAGGTAGATAGAGGGATAGAACGAGTACCAACACACCAACACAGCTGCATTTGCACGGGCAAACATGTTATGAGAAGAACGAATGTGAGTGTCTATTCGGTCGCTCGCGGGAGGGCCTTTACTCGCCAAATCAAATAGGTGATACATCCGCTTAGGCTAAAGATTCTTCAATAGATTCTTACAAAGGCATGACCAACCTGATCAACCACGTAACGTTGTTTGAATCATCTGTCGGTCTGTTATAGATTGACGAACAAATAATGTGTCTCTTTTTAACCCCCTGAAAGAGTGGACCCTTTGGTAGTTCAACGGTCTGCCGACTGAAACCATCACAAGCTACTACAAGTTTAAGAGACTCTTCGTTTTGCACTTCTTAAACGTGCATAAGCAGGGAGAAATGACCTACATCACCGGCTTCTTGAATGAGATGCTTGAAGTTAGAAATCTGAAGAAATAAATAGACGGAACAACCTTGAAGTGAGGAGTCCGAAGCAAGTGTTTCAGGTATGACATAAATTTGTTTAAACATACTAATTTTGTAGAATTATTGAAGATGGCGAACGAGCACAAACTCGCCGAAGAAGAACTCTAGAGCTCCCTAAAAGATAAGCTAAAATTAACCAACCACCCATCAAAAAGTGGAAAGAACAAGGAGAACAACAAATGACAAAGGAAAATCAGTCCTTTGGTCACAAAAATAACAACTCTCAGTCCTGAGATCAGCACATAAACGATCGAGGAAAATGTGATCGAAAGCAATGCTTCGATCAACAGTCAACTCAATCTTACAAATGACCTCATGTTTATAGGGAAATGCAATGTTCTACACCCCTCAACGTGTCAATAGTTGAAATAGTTCAAGTCATCCAAAACAATTACTACTTCAAAATCCCCCCCCCCATTAAAAACGTCGTCGGCCTTACGAGATCCAAAAAATTTGTGTCGGTATCACTGCGACCACGAACACAACAAAGAGTGTTGTCACCTTCAGAACTCAATCGAGTAACTCATCTGCACCAGAAAGCTTAAAGAATTTGTAGCAGTTGGCGCACACGCACAACGACAGGATAAAACACTAACAGAGGATCCATCCAACGGGTCTGTCTGTGAGAAGAGGTCTGCGTAGTAGGGATAATCCCTGCCATCTTTGAGGGAGGACCCCGAGACTCTTGTCTAAAGAGAAGAAATTCGCGAGAGGTATGCTCTGCATCCAATACACACGTAACCACTTGCCCATTGTCTTTACAAATGCAGATCTCCATTGAAAGGGAAACCCCTACAATGAGGCGATTGTTGAAACAACGTTGGTAGTATTCATGTTGGTATAGGAAGTTTGGTGAATATCTTATTTAAGCCAGTGTTAGGAAGAACAGTCTAAAGGCCAACCAATTACAACACTGTTTGACCTTTTGTTAGGATTCCCTGAGGAAAGGAAGGAGGCAATAGGTCTTGTCGCTCTTGTCATTACTACCTTCATTCAGGCACTCCTGAACTATTATCGGGTGATAACTTCCATCTACCATGTAGTCATAAAGTTCTTAGGCGACATGGAAGTAATTACGATCCAGATAAACTTGGAGCTGTTTAAAAACTACTATTTGTGAACTGTTTTGAGCATTGACCACAAATAGCTCAACATTTAAATATAAAGGGATGGGGTTTCGAGACCAATGAGGTTGTCCTTCAGGTGCTAGTGTCTGACAAAGAGTTTAATAAGGTTTTCTGAGCAGTGAACATTTTGATGCAAGATTTAGGAACCAACTGATACAAATGCTTTAGGAGCACTGGGAAGTGTTCGTTTGTAACTCAGCGAAAATGCCCGATGTTTCAATCAATGCAACATGCTACCCACCGAACATCAACCCCAACTCTTGGTCAGTCCAACGTAAGGTCGGGTCGACCGCCAGAACTCTGGCAGAACTAATGGGTGCAGAAGTGTGTCGGCTACATCTGTGAAGTTAGGTACCCAACTTGGCTCTCGAACGTTGTCATGATCAAGAAAGCCAACAAAAAGTTGTGGATGCTTGTCAATTTCAAAAACCTCAACATTGTTTGCCCGAAGGACACCTACCCCTACCAAAGTTGACATCTTGGTGAACGCAACAACATATACTATGTAATGAGTTTTTTTACGCTTACTCCGACTACCACTAGATAAAGATGTATCTAGCCATGCAAAACAAAACAACGTTTATTACTGTCGAGGACCTTCTTTTTTTTAATGCAATACCCTTCGGGCTTAAGAACACCAAGTAGGGTTGTAAACGAGCCGAGCTTGAGTGAGCTCGGGCTTGGCTCGTGTTCGGCTTGTTCGAAATAGCTCGTGTTCGAAATTGGTTTGTGAATAGTGTGTTCGTGTTCGACTAGATTAAAATATTTGTGTTGGTGTTCGGCTCGAAATTGACTCGTTAAACTTAAATCGAGAAAAATATATGTAAAGTGCGGGATTCAAACTTGGATCAAATATATACAAAAGAATGCACTAACCACATTGCCACATGAGGTGTTATGATTTAAATTTAGACATAAATATATATATTATATTATTATAAAAATAATATATGTAATATATTGTTATATAAATAGTTATATATATTTTTTTTTATTTCGAGCCAAAACGAGCTGAACACGAGCGAACAAGGAGCTGTTCGTACACGAGCAAACAAGGAGCTATTCGTGTTCGGCTCGTTTATAATTCGAGCTATAAAAATTTGTTCGTGTTCGGCTTGTTTACTTAACGAACGACTCGTTTACTTAACGAACAAGTCAAACATGAGCTACTTAAAGAGCCGAACATGAGCTGTTCGCGAACAACGAGCATTTTTAACAGCACTAACGCCAAGTGATCTATCAATGATATAATTTTTTCCAATAAAAAAGGAAAGAAAGTTGAAGTGTATGTCGGTGATATCTTAGCTAAAAATAAGTAAGCCAAACAACACATTAAAGATCTAATAAAGACATTCATAACACTCAAAAGATTCAATATGAGATTAAACCTACCAAATGCACCTTTGGGGTGTCGACCAGCATTTCCTGGCTTCATGTTGACTCCTAATAGTTTAAAAGCCAATCCCTAGAAAGTACAGTCGATCCTAGACATGTCGCCCCCATGGAGCATCAAGATAAATCAGAGACTGACAGGCCGTATTATCAGGCTTAGTCATTTCATCCCAAAGTTTAAGTGACAAGTGTTCATCATTCTTTAAGGTACTAAGGATAAATCAACATTTCGAATCGAAAACCGAATGCAAATAGCTATTCAAAAACCCGAAGGATCCCTTATCATCCCCACTAATGCTCTGGAGCCTGAAACTAGCGAAATCACTGCCACTATACCTTGGAGCTATGTGAGAGGCTGCAAGCTCAGTGTTGGTCCGAGAGGAGGCGGTAAAACAATACCCAATGTACTACATGAGTTGAGTGCTTCATGACACCAAAATCAAATATCCGATTATGGAAAAACTAACATTTGTTTTGATTATTTTCCCTCATAGGTTGTGACCGTACTTCTAGATGGTTCCAATCTGGGTCATCACAGAACATCCGTTGAAATTTGTGCTCACACAGCCGGAGCACTCCGATCGACTATCGAAGTGGGCGATAGAGCTCAGCGAATTCAACATCACCTATGTTTCATGAACGAAATTCAAAGCCCACGCAATCACAAACTTTTTGGTTGACTTCTCTAGAGAATCGTCACTAAAGACAAAACGTGGATCCTGTATGTCAATGGAACCTCCAAACAAGAAACAACAGGAGTAGGGCTGGCCCTATGTAGCCCAATCAAAGAGCATCTCTACCAGACGACCTTGGTGTGACCAAACTTCGGTAAACCTAGTGAATAAGGAATTTAATATTATAATTTTAAAATTTATTTATAAATTTTATAAATAGAGATTTAGCATGGTTTTTCATTACACACTATGTATTAACACAAGTGCACATATCACTCAGGTAATATATGACTTTCTTTAGCTCAGAGTATCGATCCCACAGGGAAGGCTATAAATTGAAGAGACTTAAGAAAAGCTCTAACATAATTAATTAGTCTCAGCTAGAAAATAAGTTTGAAGTTTAGATTGTGCTAGGGAAATATACTAAACTGCTTTCAAAGTTTACTATTAAGTTAATTAAACTAAATTAATTAAAGTATGAGAGTTCAAGCTATCAAAAAGTCCCTCCCCTTTTAATGAAATTAGTAATTAGTGTAGGTGTGTAACAAATAGAATATCTAATTAAAATTGTGACAAAAATGAGCATGCATTTTATTTACACCTTTTTCAAGTGACTTTCTTTAGCTCAGAGTATTGATCCCACAGGGAAGACTATAAATTGAATAGACTTAAGAAAAGCTTTAACATAAATTAAGTAGTATTAGCTAGAAAATAAGTTTGACGTTTAGATTATGCTAGGGAATTATACTAAACTGCTTCCAATCTTCAAAATTTACTATCAAGTTAATTAAAGTGCGAGAGTTCAAGCTATCAAAAAATCCCTCCCCTTGTAGTGAAATTAGTAATTAGTGTAGGTGTGTAACAAATATAACACCTAATTAAAATTGTGACAAAAAAGAGCATGCATTTTCTTTACCCCTTTTTCAAGTGTAAAAAAATTAGGTTAATTAAGAAAGTGTTTATGCTTGTCACCCTATAAACCTCACAGTTAATCTTGTTAAATTCACCTCCCTATTTATTTGTATTGATATGCGAATTATTTTTTCTTCATTCTATATAACAATGTGGTTCTTACTAGTTGTTGCAGCCATAGCCAACCTAAATCTTTGGGTTCACAACTGATTTTAACACAACAACTAGCCAAATTGAAATGTAAATGAAGCTTAAAGTAAAACCCACCACAATCATGAAATGAAGTTAATTATAATTGAATCTACATCCTACAAATGATACTATCTCATCACAAGAGAAGGAGAAAGAAAATTACTCAAATTGCGTGAAGAAACCTCCAAAAAACATCATCTTATTATAAATCGAAGCCATACACTATGAAACTACTTAATACAAGACAATGTATAACAATATACTTTATCTTCTTCGCTAAGAACTGAAGAGAAACTCCACCCCAAATGTGATTTCTAAGTTCTCTTTGCACTTGTACAACAATTCCTTACAATACCCTCAAATCTCTCAAATGAAATATAGAAAAAAAAATGAACATCTCCCTTTTCTTTCCATTTTCTCATTCTTTTCTTCTCTTCAGACTTCTCTAAGTGTTCTCCTCCTTTGTTTTTTCTACTTACCCCTCCAGATAACTCCAATTTTGTGTGAAAAACTGCTGAGAAACTGTCATAGACAGTTCTAGCGCCTAGGCATCATTTTCTCGGGTACCTAGACGAAACAATTGGCGCCTATGTGCCAGTATGTAGCACCAATGCCCCACCTTCTCGGGAATTTGGGGTTGTTCCGACGCCTAAGTGCCCATGAATGGTGCCATGTTTCCATGGAGTGGCGATTAGGCGTCAGGTCATTGTTACCTCTAATGCTCCATTCGCCTCCATTTAACTCTGTTTTTACTCCACTTTGCTTCAATTATTATACATATTATACCTGCAACAACAACATCAAAAATATATTTCTTTAAAATGCAATATCATAAAAAAAAAGTATAAATATTATAGGAAAATTAATATGTTAAAGACATGCCAAAATTTTCCCAAACTTAAACATTACTTGTCCTCAAGTAATACTATAATTTTTTTATTAAAAAAATTAATTGTTGATTTGAGGTAATGTGTCTCTTAAGAATTTCTTATAAATTTTCTTCAAGAATGTCATAGTGTAATCTAGAGGAAATTTCAGTGAATAGGGCTAGAACTAAAGTACAAGGCTATATTGTAGTCAACTTATGAATCCCGATTTTCTATTTACTTCAAATCAATTTGCAATTTGTAAAACTTGGGATTTATAGAAAGTATAAAGACAGAATTTTAAAGCACACTTTTAGCAAAACTCTAACTAATACAATTTTAAAAGAAAATCAAGCTTAAGATTGTAATTGAGTTTTCTTCCTTAAGAAAATTTAAGTGAAACCAATTTTAAATAGATATCCCCCAAAGCTTCTCCTCACTTATCATTTTTTTTTCTATTTTTAAATTTTGTTTACTTTTTTTTTTAAGGATCATTTTGAATAATTACTTTTTTTAATGTGAGGATTACTATATCTAGATTAACATTTAATGGTTTTGAATTTCACTATTATTCTCTTAAAGTTAAAAATCACCGCTTTCTTTCACTTGAAATCAGTTAGTATTAATTTGAAAATAGAGTTTAATAGAGGCTAAATTCTAATGATCAAATTAAATTCATAAATCTTAAATATTATTAATACCCCATCAACGAAAGACTTTATAATGAGGGAAGAACTAAAGAAAAGGGAGTTAGATAATAAGAAAGAGGATAATTTTTTTTTGAGATTTTAATAATATCAAAGTAACAATTATAGATTGTTGCCTATATAATACATATAAATTATTTCTCTCAAGGTTCCAGTATCTTCTCTCTCACACTCTATGACAGACATTATTATTAGTAAGTTGTGTTAGTTCGGGATTCAATACATATAACATATCATTAAAAAAAATACACACACAATATGTTGAATAAAACATGAAATAAAATAGCTGAATGTGTGGGTTATGCAACTGGTCAGTCTATTCGAAGCTTTGGTGAGTTAACCAAATTGACTGCTCCTGATGGAAAAACTTCTCGTGATGATTTTGATATTTGAGTTAGATTTTGAAAAATGGATGGGTGAGAGTCATAAATTTATAAATAGCAAGTTTCGGATGGTCTCTATATATTTTTCCCAAAAAAAAAAAATCAATGTAATTGATAAAATCATAAAACACTATAATTTCATAAATATGATAGATCTTCATGTGTACTATACCTTATAGACCTCCTTGGGCTGCTTCACAGCACAGCCTAGCCCAGAAACACTATCCCTTCTCCCGTAGTCCCGTATCTCTTGCTTTCTCTCACCTCCCGAACACTAGACACGGCACGCCTTCTCCTTCCCTTCCTGCCCCTTTCTCTCTGATCTCACGAACCATATGATGTCGGGAGTTTTCCGATGGATGAAGCTCCGAGTCACCGCCGCAGGTGCGTCAAGAAGTATGGCCGGCGCAGCCGCGATCTCCGATCCAACTCCATATTCTCGCAGTGTTCTCCGATTTGCACCCGCTCTAACGGCGTTCTCGAAACTCCCGCTGCTGGAAACCGTCGGCGCGATCCGCCCGGTCTTTTTCTCCGACAAGAGAGGCACAAGTGGCACTTCGGCGGCTCCGACGAGTTCCAGACCAGGCGTATCCGCGTTGAGGCCAACTGCCCGCGCTGCTTTGGTTACATGGAGCTTTTCTTTTCCAACCGTTCCCCGCCATCCATCGCCGGCGCTGGCGACAGAGGTGGATACCAGGCTGTTAAGCTCTGCCCTAAGTGCCGGACTGCTTTCTACTTCCGCCCAAACAAGATCGTTCCTCTCCAGGGCACTTTTGTTGAGATTGGGCGGCTCAAGGAAAGCGATAGCGGAGGGGTTGGAGAGGAGGAGGACCGTTTTTCGTTATGGGATGCGCTGAGGACATCCTATGTTGGTGGGGATCCGCCGGAGGAGTGGCCGCCGACGCCACAGAGTAGAGGATTGTCGATGCAGGTGCCACCAGAGCCTCCGTTTCCTCCAAATTTAAACGTGGTGAGGGTGGCGACTGTTGGTGGAGGCGGGAGTGGAGGAGCGACGGGGGATGGAGGAAGTGGGTTTAAGGATGGTTGGGGAGGTTCAAATTTGGGAAAGGATTTGCCAACTCCCAAAGAGATTTGTAAAGGGCTTGATAAGTTTGTGATTGGACAGGAAAGAGCCAAAAAGGTATCGTTTTTCCACTCTAGAACTTGGAAGTTCATTTAAATATATATATATAT